CTTACAACACTCCTTCAGACCTGTGACCAAATCCCACCATTTACCCTGCAGTATTACTTACTCCGCTGTGCAGTTGTCTTTTTTGGAAGAGGTAACAGTTGCACATATGTACCATATTTTAAGAATGATTGACTGGTTTCAAGGAATCAGTTTTAGTTACACCTTGGTAATTCTACTAACTAATAAATATACTTAGCACTAACCTCTTTGTTGACACTCAGAAATATCTGCACACACAGTCTGAAGGATGTTCTGTGCTTTTAACTCATTTTTTTTTTCCATGCTAATGTCAGCATTGGGATCCTCTGTTCTCTGGTAAAGGTAGAAGTGGCATTGTTCCTCTTTCTAGGACACAACGTTCTGTCTGCACATTTCTGCCTCTAAATTCCCAGCGAGGCTTCACCTAGGAGGTACTGACATAAATTATTTATATTGTGTTTTGAAGGTTCCCTGTGAACATATAAAAAATATTCCATTTGAAAGTGTTTTTCATAATCAAATTTGCTTTTAGCATTTAAGCCATAAAGTTGTGCTGAATGCACTTGAATAGAGCATACCCTTTCAAGTAACTTTTGTGTTAAGAACCTTAAATCAGATCTGCTTAACAAATGTTCAACGAACACGTTCTCTGCTGCTCCCGTGGTAGTGCAGTGTTGTGAGAACACTTTCTACAGAAAGGCAAACTGCAAGCAGTTTGGACCTGAGAGTGGTTAGCAATCTGTGAAACACAAGTCAGGGCTCTGCTGTGAATTCCTCTACAAAGCTGTTATGTGATCCTAAGGAAGTCGCATTGCTTGTCCATTCCTGTGTCTTCCCTGTGTCTCATCTGCTGACAGTACTCTACTTAACGTGTTTCCTTTGGAAGGAAGTAAATATAGCATTTTATGGTCCAAAACTTTAAATTTTTCAACTCATTTTATACCATTTGGATTAGACAAGATATATGAAGAAGAATTTGGTCTTTACCTGTTGGTATCACACAATCTGAGCCAGTCTTACAACGGAACTAATCTCCTGCATAAACAAGCCACAGACATATAACCTCGTGAGGGTGTTTGCTCAACAGTAGGGTTTTGAAAATCCAGCTTATTGTCTTCAGGCATTGTGTTAAGTATGTCTTGCTCAAAAGTATCAAATGCATTCAAGTGGACAATTACAAATTGCCACGAGAATATAAAATTCATGAGAATGTTACATATTACAGAAAAAAAAACTACCACAAAACTTCTACATTTGATACTGATACCTCACCCTGAGGATTTCTTAGTCAGCCACTGATCAATTCTGCTTAGAAAGTTGAAGTGCTGTTTGTTTATGCCTTGTTTGTCTGCATGATAGAAGGTAACAGTTTGATTTTGACTGAGTACCACCATACGCCTTGTGCTGCAAGGCAGTAATTGAGTTGATAAAGTTTCTCAGAAAAAATTCCACTGTTTGCAACTTTAAAAATCATGTTGAATGATTTTAAAAATGCAAAAGTTTGCTTTTCCTCAAGTTTAGTTACAGAAATCATTTAACTGCTTAGACCTCCTGAAAATCAGTCTTTCTTACTAATGTATAAAGATTCTGCTCAGTACTATGCACTATATATATACGTGTGTGTATATAAACTTACATAAAGTGTTCATGCAAAACCTTATCTTCATAATGTGACAATATGGTCACTAGCACACATGCCAGTAGGCTGTGCAGTGGAGGCAATGCATTGATAGCTGTCCTAGCTTTCCCTGTAAATCTGAGGTGGCATTCACTATATTAATCTACATCTGCAAAACCTATGCAGGCTGTGCCACACGGAGCACAAAATGCTTCATCTACGGAATCTATTTTACAGAGATTTCCATGGGGAAGCATCTAAATACCTTAGGAGCTCTGCAGTCAAATATATGGCAATTCTGAGATTTTTCAAATGGTCCTGTATTTGCTTCCTTTTGAAATGTAGCTGGATAATGCCTGTGCCTGTCTTTCAGACAAACAGCTATTCTGTTGAGCATTGCTGATCAGCCAGCTGTGATCCAAAAGCAGAGCTCCCACTTCACCAGGCTCTGCCATGCCACACCCGGTGATGGACTCTCCTGGCTGTGATATCTTCCGTTTCCTGATCGATGCCATTCCACTAAGCAAAAAGAAATACAATATTCATAGGAAGGAAGAGAGAAAGCAAGGAGCTATGTCTCTGTTTCTCACTGATGCTAGCCCGCAAGCAGGAATGCAGACACCAGGATTTTGGTCTCCACTATCCTTTTCAGTATGCTACACGTGACCCAGGATCTAACAGGGAAAAGGAAATCTCTTTTCAGATAGCAGATCCCATATTTAGAAATTAGCATCAAGTCCTGTTTCTGTGCCAAGCAGCTCCTAGCTAGCTGAAGAACCTATCTCGCTACTCCCACCTGTGGATCTTGTGTTATGAAACTAGGTACAGATTTCTTTAATGATCTCTTTAAAAAAAAAAAAAAATCTGCTTGGTCTCCTAGAAAGATTTTGACAGCTCAGGTGTCATTTTCCATGTAGGATTTGGCCAAGACACATAATCTACTGTCTGAAAAGTAGTGAAAGCTTTGGGGCCTTAAAATGACCATTAACTAGTATCTATAAACCTCAATATTTGTCTCAGCTAAATATCTGTGCATGCTGCAGCTCTTATCCATTTAGCAGCACTGTTAAGCACTGTCTCAGAAATTTTACTGTTGCATCACCTCAACTCGGCTGCAATTGCAGATTAAACAAGAAGGAAAGCAAAGCTTCCTCTACATGTTTTGCAGCTCACATGCTATAAACATTACAGGGACAAAATAAATGGAGGGGGGGAGTGGGGAGAGAGCACGAGGGTGTGAGCAATGAGTATAGCTGTAAGCCTGTTTTCTTTGTGCATTTTAATAGAGATCTCCTGCTACACTGAAGCCTGTATGTGGCTCAGTAGCAGCCCAGTATGTGGCTCAGTAGCAGCTCAGTGCTGCCCTAGCCACGACTCATCATTTGCTGCACGTCTTGTACTAAAGGCTGGACCCTGCCTCCTTACACAGTGTCTTAACCTTGCCTTGCCCTTCTACCCCACAACAGCCACTTTGTTTCCTTTCACTAATAGTCAGACATCACAAACTCCTTCCCTCTAAACAGAACCTTCCTTCCCTCCCATTATAACCAGAACCAGCACCACCCCAAGTGGTTTCAGAACTAACTGATTTAGATGCTGGAATCTGCTGCAAGGCCAAAAATAACTCCCCATTTCTTTCTCCTTCATTGGTGAAAGTAAGAGAGAAAGTGGCCAATGACAGAGACACAAATCCCCTGTAGGCATCGGAGACAAATCTATTTTGTGTCAGAAAAAAAAAAATAATGCTCTTGAAAAATGTTTCTTTGCTCAGGCCAACAGATACAGACCTGCTGCATGCAATTTTGCTGAACCGATGGTATCACTTGAATGGCTCACAGACTACATAAAATGCATTACATAATTATATTTTTAAACACTGTCCCCAGCTGTGCTGATGCACATAAAAGCTGTGTTTACAATGGACTCTGCACATGTAATTATTTTGTGGCACTAGCTCTGTGCATTTCCTTGATGGATGCTCCACGGTGCATAAAATTGTAGCTTTTATCATAGATTCTTCAATACATTCTTTGGATGTTTCAGCTTTAAATACTTTGTTGTCCTCGCATGGGTGAACAGGACTGATGCCTGGAAGGGCTAAATTATTGCATCTGAGGAACACCTTTAAGTCCTCTGGGAGCAGCAGAAGGGGAAACATGATGAGTGTTGGATTTGAGGCACCTGGGTCACTGGAAGCACTGAGCAGCAGAGCCGGCTGCTCCTCCGTGAGAGGTTTCCTGTGTTGATCTTCTGGATAGAGCAAGGGCCCTGCCCCAATTTGGCCTGCACAGGTTCATCCCAAGCTGATTAATGCTGCATCAACCCAGATGCTTTGTAGGATGGGGAGGCTAAATAATGCCTGGTGCCCGTGTGAGTGCAGGAGCAAAGGGGTGGGAGGCTGCCCTTGCAGAGTCAAACAGAACATGACTCGGATTGTTGGGATCAAAGAACAGCTTTGATTTATCTTCCTTTCTGTTTGTATACAGTGAGCGAGCTCTCAGCATTTCACTGTGAGCTCTCCCTTCTCTGTTCTCCATCCAGTTGTGGAATACCAAGCATTTCTTCATGCTAGAGCAGTAGCTGATGCATAGGACCCAGCAAAGAAGACAGTGGTATATTTATTTTAGATCTGTTCCAGTATTCTCGAGTATTAATATCACTGTGAAAATCTAGATGCTGGAAGGATTGGTACATAACACAGTCCAAGAGTTTTGCCTGCCAAACAATAACACTTGGAAATAAATAAAGACAAAAAGTAATACAATATCCTGAATAACAGCTTCAAAATGATGGAAGAGCAGCATCACAGGTAGCTACCTTTATTTTTTTTTACTATTGCTGCAAAGAATAAGCAGACTTTTATTGTCAATAAGCAAAATGGTTTGGCATTTTACATCTAGTGTCTGGCTAGCCTTAGGTATAAGACTGCACATAGGAAATGCGAGTTTTGTTGTAAACCAGTTTTTAATGGCAGATGTTTTGTTGGAAATCAGGTCTGCTTTCTGGTAATAGATAACTTAAATTCCTTTGTTATCATTCCTTGCCCTTTTCAGTCCTGTGTTTGGTCATGGAAGCTGGAATCCTATGCTTTCCCAAGGACAGTTGGACCATGTAAAGTAGTAATTGGTCTAATGCCAATAGTGATCAAATTATTCCAAAGCAAATGGCTTGACTGTTGGTAAACCAAGTTTTCCACCCTCACATGAATATAGTCTTCTCCCATCATAGAAACTCTTCAGCTATGGATGTCCTTAGCATTCCCTCTGTTTGGCATGTGAAGTTTACATACCAGCTTCTAGGCTGTTGATGCATTTTGCATCAAAATGTCAGGTGATGGAAGAACAATCTTTGGAGTGGAAAAAATGTGGAGCTGCATAAGTTTATTGTATGTTCGTTTGCATAGTCTACCTTTCAGATAAACCTTATCCCTCGGAGTGTACTGGTACTTGAAAATGAGTCCTTGAATAACCTGCACAAAAGCTGAACCACCAGAGGCGCTACTTTGGAAAAGCAAGCAGAGGAAGGTACCAGAAGCAGTGCAAAGGGAACACTTCTGGGGTAAGCACCCCCTGGTATTGTTCAATATATGTGTCTATCCTGTTTTTGCAACACCAGGTGTTGTTGTTTTATTAGGGATAACATGGCTTGTACATATGAAAAAAGGGTACATTTCTCACTGGGTAAGACATACTTCTTACTTACTCACATTACTGAAGTTATATGAAATACTGTGAGTATTATTTTCTAAAAGGGCTGATTTCCTTCTAGTCCCTTACTCTAGAGAACCCTGCTGAAAGTCTGTCAGCCATCTAGGCCAAAATATGTTTTTCAAATATGTGATCATCTTATACAAATCAACATAATTCCATGTGCTTTGACAGAGCTATGATTTAAGCCAGTGGAGGATCTAACTCCTCGGTATTTTATGTAACACAGATAAACACCAGAATTTGTGATCAGAGAGGAAATATTTCTAGGTGTAACATGCTTGCATCATTACTCTTCCACATTAGTTACAGTCCTTTGCTGCAGCCACTTGAGCAAGACTTTTGTGTTTATCTTTACAGTATATGGAGATAAGAGTTGCTCATCTTTTGCAAAACGTTAAGTTTTGTTAAGTACAATGAGAGCAAGAATCCACACTGACTTTAATACAAATTTTGCAGTTCAACAGGACCAAAACAATCCTCTTAATACTACTCTTTGAACCCTGATCTTTGCCTTTTTGCATCTAAGTCATCAGAAGCTTCTCTTTCCAAAAGCAAAATAATGCTTTGAGAAGCCACAGTTCAGTGTAAATTATGTCATCACTATTAGGGGTTGAGGCATCATCTTTGTTGCCTTAAGTCCCTCTTGGAAATGTCCAATAAAGCCAGAAAGAAAATGAGACTTATTTTACAGATTTTTTGAGCACAATAATTCCATTCTTGCTATAATATTATCTGTGAGAGCTTTTTCTTTTTTAATTCCATAAAGCTCTATCACTATATTATCTAAGCAGCTAAGTACTGAGATTATGTAAGTTGAACATAATAGGATGTCTGTAAAACTCTCCTCCTTCCAGCTTTGGAAATTTCTACATTGCTCTTCTACAGTGACTCAGCTGAAGATCTCCCATATGACCCAGGAGAATGCGTGGTAGGGTGGGATTTCCACCCTTTGGAGGAATGTAGAATGATCCTCAGGTATGACCTCAGCTTCAGCCTAGCTCTCTTCCCACGTCCCCTGGACTTCTCTGGGCAATCTTTAACCACTGAGCAGCAGATGCTTGCTGTAGCTCATGCCAGGCATTGCACTTCTGTCTTTCTAGGAATGTTTACCTAATGTTTTCCAAGGAAAAAAAAATCTACCTTTTGATTTTGCACAGCAGGAGAATTTTCCTGTTGTACCAGATAACAACCTCAATATGTACTTTCACAGTCTGTTTCTTCTAGAGGATATTTTTGGCCCATAAGTGGTGTTTTAAGAATAATTCTACCAGTACTATTTTTATAATATGTATCACTTCATGGTGCATTACTAACCATATGGCCAAGCACACTACATGCAGCTACATTGCAAGGTTTGCTGCCCAGTAGGCATGAGAGGCATTTATTTTGAATGATGTGCATTGAGGAAAAAAATTCCGCTTCAAAGGTACAGGCTTAGGACCCTTATTTCTCTTCTTGGTTCTCCCTTGGTTTTAAATGAGGTTCAGCTTTTCTCCCTTGGAATCTCACTGCAATAATGTGGGCTCAGAGCAGCTGTTTTTACTTTGCCTTGCTGATAACTGGCAGGAGATAAAATACGGAGGAGTAAATTCTGCCTGGCTGCTACAGGTTGCATCACACAATCGCTGACTGGTAGGTCTCTGAGAATTGTTACTGATAGCTAGATTTTATCTTGGTAGGGGTAAGAGCTCATGAAACAGGATGACTCAAGGAATGACTAATGAACACTTTATGATGAAACTTCTGTCTAAGCCATGTCAACTGTGACCAAAAATTATCATCAGGGAGTTATTTGACAGTCTAGGTTGAGTGAGCAGATGCCCTGAGACCACCTTGTTGTAGACATGTCTTAAATGTGAAATCCACTAATTCAGTTTGTATCAATTAATGTCAGTGGGGAAAACCACAAATGGTGATGAGGCATGGTGGTGAACTTGGTTACCCCTCAAGTGGCTTCTCCCATTTAGAGCTGGCCATTTAATGAGGTAGATGATAAACACAAAGTAATGGCAGTTTCTCGTTTGTAAATAAATCATTCCAGTCAGATGTATACACACAGCTTTGTTTTGTGTGTTCATACAGAAACGCAGACTCCCAGGAACAGTTCCAGATACTCAGCTGGGATTACATTATCAACACGGGCATCATCGTATTTAGGTGGGCCTCCTATGCAAATGTCATGGGGAGTCCCTCTGTGTGACTCTAAGTTATGACTCTACCAAAATATCCTTCTTCAGCTCCTTGATACTAGGCCCTTTATATGTAGTTTACAGGTACTTTTGCTTTTCTTGGGATACCAGTAGCTCCTGTACAGTCCCAAATCATTAGTTACACACCTAAGTCAATGTGGAGGTATCAGCTACTGTATTGACTTAGCAGTGCTCAGTAAAATTACCTCCCGCCTTCTTATGCCAACGGTCATGTCTTGCTTTCTCTACAGCAACATCCTGCCAAAACGCATTATTTCCCCTGGAGAAGAACAAACTCCCCCTTCTGGGCAGGGTACAAATGAGGCCAGGTGTGCTCAAGGTGCAGGGGCTAGAAAGGGGACATGTGCAAGCTTTGCTCTAAGCAGTCAAGAGACGAGATGGGGATCGGGGAAGTCAGTGGCTTAGCCTTGGTTCTGATAATGATTTTTTGTGTGGCCTTTTGTAAGCTCTTTCATGTTTCCACCTCATTTTTCTCAATCCTAAAATGGAGTTCAAAATCATCACTTCTCCAACACCTCCCCCTCCACACACAGAGAGAGTTGTGAGAAGGTTTAATGTTTATCTCAGAGACTTTGAACAGTATTATACATCCAGGGAATGTATACAGGCATTTAGACCCCAGAATGAGCTTTTAGAAAAACATCAGGTAAAGAAAACAGCATTTATATTTTAATCATATTAATCATAAATTTAGGATTGGAACAGAATATGTGATTAACAAACCTGCAAAACAAGCTTTGTTTCATTGGCTTGAGCTGCTTTCTAGTTCTGTTTGTGTACGTCAAAGTGATGTTCAGTCTTTTTAAATGAGTCACAGGACTGGAAGAACAAAAATATTTGATGGTAACATATAGCAGCAAAACAATTACTCTTTTCATTCTGACAGGCATGATAACCAGAATAGCAAGTTAGAGCTAGAGGTCTAGGCTGGTAGTTTCTTTCCACATATCAGGGATTTTAGATCTGCTTGCAAGACAGTGAAACAGAACTGAAATGTCATAAAAATTAAAAGATAACACTAGATCAAACAATAAAAGCAAGCATGCCCATTAGGATACAACTATTTACACTTATAAAGGCACTACTGATCAGTGAGTCCATGCAGTATTCTCACACAGCACAGCCTTGTCTAGCAGCTTTCTGTACCTTTATCCAGAGGAGACTCCTTTCCACCCTGCTTGCTGCATTGCACCACTGATTTAGTGAAGACATCATCCTCATAAGGATGCTCTTCTAACTCACCTCTGAAATCCGCTTGCTTTTCTCCTCTGACAATTAGGTTTAAATGTGCTGCAGCAAAGTACCCATCCTTAGCAGTCGTATGGCTTTTTAAGTGATAAACTGCATTAGCAAATTCCTTATTAGATAATCTATCAAATGAGGTCATACATAATTTTAGCAGTCTCATCTTGATTTATAGCATGATCACAGCAAATTATGCACACACAAACCAGCATGCTGGCTGTCAAAGTCAGGTATTTTTACTCTGCTAAAAACTATTGCCAGGCCAGCCCAGTGGCCTAACTGGTAGCACTCTGCATCACCACGGCTTGCCCAGTTGGCAGGATAGCCCTCAAGCTCACCCCTCACCTCTTATTAGGACTGATGAGAGTTCAAGGCAGTAGGTTAAGTCCTTGTTTCATACATTCTAACAATAATCCTTAATGGTGTTTATTCTGACAGGTTTGCCGTACTCCTCCTAAGTAAGGGCATGGGTTCGCTGGGAGGGTAAGCTTAGGTATGGGGAAACTGGGTCTGCAGGGTGCTGATCTGCTGATCTGCTTCCCTTCCCCTGCCTCCCTTCTGTGTTCCCAAGGGAATGAAAAGCTAGTTGGAGTGAATCATCAGGCAGCATTGCGCACGACTGTAACAGAGTCTGCTTCCCAGTCCAGGCTGCTCGGGCTGGTTGAGACTTGGTCGCCTGCACCCACTGGCACTGGAGGAGGCAGTGCTCCATCTCCTACAGCCATCTGCACTCGGGAGCCATGCCACCTGCCTTGCTACAAGCACAAGTGATGAGATGCAGGGAAAAATGGGAAGGATCTTCAGGAGAAAATGCAGTTTCTGAACGGCCCTTCGCTATTACTGCTGCTCTGTTGTTCGCTGCAGCCCCCATGGTGGAAGTAAATTGCTCCCAGGATCCAAAAGGGACACAATTCCTATCCCCCAACTTCAAACTTCTGCAAGTAACATTTCATCCATGGAGATTTGTCTGTAACTACCATAGGGGGGAGGTGCAATAAATTATCTGGTCTTGCCTTTATCTTCACCTGCTCTCAACTCATATTGGTATTTCTAGGGTTTAATCTGTGCAAAGTGGTAACAGTACATGTCATCTCCATTTCCCACTGGACTTAGGGCGAAACTCTGTCTGTGAAGGATCAAGTGGGATGGAACAAGATGTGTTCTTTGGCATTGCAGGCATCTTGCCCCTAAAATGTAAAATAAGAACTAAACAAAAATCTGAATAAAAATTTCCCCTGGAAATATCAGATCATAGAGGCCTAACTATCAGTACGTGAAAACTTCTTGAAACACTTACTATAAAGGTCTCCATGTTGTCTTCACAATAATATTCCTGGAATGAGAGACTGGAAGAAACCATGACACAAAGTCATTTATCAAAATGAGCTAGCAAAGGGCATGCTTTCAGCGGACAGCACTGCTGTTTTGCACACACTATGGTAATTTGGCCTAATCCTACTGAATGAGCTTTTCATGCATATGTGTGTATGCATATCTGTCATGAGTGAAATCTATTGCATCCTCAGTTGACAAGCTGTGTGTGGCAGATTGCAGCAGGGTTTGGGGAAAGAAATTCATGACCCAGGTTAAGAGTAGAGCATAGGACTTCCTTCTGGAGCTCACCAGCCAGAACAGCAATTGCACCCCCTCCCCACATTGGTACCAACACCAGTCTGGGGTCCCTCTTCTCTCCACTCCTTTTACCCCATGCCAGAGTGGCCGAAGATTCAGCAGAGAGGATGATGAGAAGGGGGTTGTTTTTTGGGGGCACAAGTATACGGTGAACATTGGGCAAGTGATGGAGCACCTGGGTTGTGCCAGCCCTGCAGGAAGGCTGTGCCACAGGACGGATAGGGGTGAATGGGCAGGAGTGGAAAGCTGTCTGCAGAAGGTGTGAAATGCCCCCATGCACCTAGGGATGAGTGCTGAGGGAGGGGGGGGTGCTCTGTGGACACCCCTGCAGACCCTGAAGCACCGCCATGCAAACCTTCTCATCTGGGTCTGTGCTGCAGGGGCACATCCCACTGAGCAGCACTGACCAAAACTGCAGCTGGAAGCAGGGCAGAAAATCTCCTCTGATGCAGTGGGCACTGAGCTCCCCGAGTGCCCTGGCTCCCGGATAGGGACCATCAGGCGGGCAGGGAAGGGGGCACAGCCCCATCTCCCCACTTTACCTCTGTAGGAGTCCCCTGGGGGAGAAGCTGTGGCACCCCCCGGCTCCGTGGGGTGATGGGGCCCCCTCAGCAGCCCCGGGTTGGCCGCTCCTTCTGTAGACCTGCCTCTGCAGAGGTGTTTGCAGCCATTGGCACGGGCGCTGCAGCGCTGGTTGCCTGGCAGCAGGAACGCGTCCTCTTCCCCATGACAAACATCATCGACCCAGACCACCTCCCGTTTCAAATGTCTGCCCATGCCGGAGAGCTCAGCAAGGGGAAACGTAGCTCACCGAACAGAGTAGAGCAAGCCCCATTTCATCACTGGAGCAATGCAGAGACCCTCGCACTGATCAGCTGCCCCACAGGTGAATTCATCCAGCACCATAAGTAAAATTCCGTGCGCTCAGCCATTCAGCACGGATTAGCACTAAGAGGACAAGCCCCCTTAAAGAAATACATGCTAATTAGGTGCCTGAATATTTAGCTTTCTACAAAACTGTCAGAGGAAAAGTAACTGTGAAGCTAAGCCCCAGGTCTGCCTTTTTGTGTCTGGGTTTTTGGGTCCTGCTGAAAACACACTAATGTTCTTGATGTGCCGAAAGAAGGCAAAGTGTGGTATCTAAAAGGGAGCACAGCGTTGCTACAGGTCTCTGTGGCTTATAAAGTACGTGCAGTGTGTTTATCTGCTCCCAGCTCAGCACTCAGCCCCGAGTGTGCCGCTGCATCCAGCCTCTGTGCTGTAGTAACTCTGGTTCTGAACATCATCGCAATCACAGGATTATGAATTTGAGAGACGTAAACCCCACCAACTTCAGAGATATCCATCTTCTTTAAAAGAAAGCAAGCCATTATGAGTCAGGCACATTATCTGCCAGCAGCCCACTGAAGAGAGCTGTCTTCTGCAGAGAGGTGGAGGACGGGAGGATGCCAGATGAGTGCGGCAAGGGCGAGGGCACAGAGTATGGAAGGAGAATGCAAGGGGAGAACACAGGAGCTGTGGTCTCCATGACACGGTGCCAGTGCTGTGCAGGGAGCATCCAGGAGAAGAAGCTAGTGAACTCTTTGCCCAGGGGACTGTGGTGTACAGCAGGGACGTGGATTTGGGCTGCTCAGGCTCTGGGAGAAACTAGGTTCGATGGAAGTGTGAAGGCGCCCAGCAGTGCTGAGCTCCACACCACCACAGCTAATCGCTGCATTGCAAGGTGGGGTGGGTACTTCTATGCTGGGATGCAGTTATTTGTAGAGACAGAGTATAATGAGACCCTCTCTTCCTGCCTGCAGAAAGGCTGAAATTAGTGTGGCCTACCAGTCATTTTCTCAGTCTACTCTGAAACAGATTTGTCTCGAGAAGGCTCAAGCTACATGAAAGCACTCACATCAGGTGCAGAGGCAGCTCCCTCTTCACTGTGACTGGTTAATATGATGTGGGAATAAGCATCATGCCATCGAGGAGCTGCAACTTCATCCTCTACAACATCAGCATCAGCCTGCCCCCACCTAGTGCTGTGGCTCAAGGGAGTCAAAGCCAGGGCAAAAGGAGAGGGGCAGGGAGTGGCTGCAGAGAGGTACCCGGCAGGGGAGTGCAGCAGCTTGTCCGTTTTCAGGAGAAGAAGGAAATCTCTGGTGGGTGCTGCACA